GGCCGCCGGTAGCGCGGGGTTTGCTGGAGGCAGCCGGGGCATCCAGCCGGCTGTGCTTCCAGCGCTTCGGGCTCTGCGCTCTGGCGGGTTTGTGCTGCCAGCCTTTCCTCTCCTCCGTCCCACGATTATTTCCTGCTCCTGTTTATTTCCCTTTTCCCCCTAAAACGGAGCGGCTGCCCCTTAAGCATTCCTACCAGTAGCTTTTCCTTCGCCAGGCTAAAGGGCAGGAAAGTCTCCCCAGAGCGCAGCAGAGCCAGGGCCGCTGCGGAGGTTTCTAATCCTTATCTAATCCCCGTGGGAGATCAATGGAACGATCGATCGCGGCCTCCTCCAGCGCTCCCTCGCCCCCGCCGTCGAGGAGCGATTTAGCCGGGACCCCAGAGCCGGTAACAGCCCTGCGGCCAGGTTTGGGCTCTCACTTGCAGGTAACCCGGCCAAATGCAGAGCAGGGCACCCAGCAGCACCTCCACCCCTCCTCGGCTGCAGCCCACCCTGGCAGCAGACCCTCTGGGACAGGCCCTTGCTGAGCACCTGGTCTGCGTTTCCCGGTTTATGTACCCAAAATAGTCGTTGGGGCGTTAGCCACGGCACGGGTGGGCCCGTGGAGCCGGTGGCACGTTGTCGCTCGCATGGTTTTTGGGAAGTGTTTCTTCAGGTTGTAATGATTCCTGGCTGCTAGTCTCTGGTGCTGGCATGCATTGGCCCTGCTGTCAAAGTAAGGAAAATGCAGTTTTCCTATGCTTTTAAGGTGAAACTGTGTTCAGAAAAGAAATTAGTTAGTATGGGTAAAGGAGGTGGCCTTGGAGGAGTGGATGTGCGGTTTAGTGGAAAGCTTTGTTGTGAGAAAGGAGATGAAGGATGAAATGTAACCCCTCATCATCTGTGTTTCCCTGTCTGGAAAGTAAACACCTGGCAGTGAATGGGGAAAAGCCGGTGCATGGGTTTTTCACGTTAAAACAGAGCATGGTAGGTGAGGAGCCGAGCAAGAGAGGAGCTGAAAGGACAAAGTTTATGATTTTTAGGCAGGTGTAAAAATCTTGAGTTCGAAGTAGTCACGCTGTTACAGCAAAGACTGTTTTTGACATAAAAGCTATTCTCTAATTTTCACAAAATTTAGAAGAAAATCGGTATGACTCCATTTTTTCCGCTGAGTTCTCACTCTGTTTTAGTGGCTTCTTGAAAGCAGAAGTTTGTCTTGTGACCACTCAAAACATCTGCATGTTTACAAATATTGTTGGAATACCGTAAAGCTGAGCCTTACCTTATGCAAGAAGTCATAGTGGATTCCACAGGGAATGGTTTCATGACTAAGAACTGCTAACAGCACTTATGGTTTCCCCTTAGAAAGTGAATGTTTCTCCAGGATGCTTAGCACCAAAATTAAAACCCACTATTTGAGAGAAATTTGTTTTGGCAAATACTCCTAATTTCCTCAGTGTCTGTAGCAACAACATACTTCTTAGCAACCATAGGTGTATTTTACTCACTTTGAAGCTCCATTCAATTATCTGTTGACTCAAAGGTGAGAATGGCCTGGGGTTTAGTGACTTTTAATTTTTTTTTGGTTGGTTTTGAAAATCTGTTGTTTAGAGGCTACTTTATTTCATTATCCCTTTAGCATCCACCCCTTTTTTTAGCAGTTGAGACTTCCTGCCATTCTTTATGGCCCTTTTGGGTAAATCCTAGGGTGTGCTTCATAAAGTGCTGTTACAGGTGTTGAGTTCACCATCTCTAATTAGGATACAAAAGTCCACACGTTAAGATTTGCAAGTTGCCTAAATTGTGGAGCAGTATTTTTCAGAATGGAGTTTAAAGGATTGACATTAGAGCCATATTATTGAAAAAAAGAAGAAATGCAATAGTTACTCTTAAGTCCTCAACCAGGTGTAATGATTCTCATCAGACCCCCACTAACTATAGTGCTCGAGTTTTCTCACTAATGTCCTGGAATTCCAAAGTAATGCTGCGTGTTTCTTGCTGCTTGTTATAACCACCTGGAATGTAAGGGGCACCAGTATTCAATCAAAATGCATAACAGTGAATGAAGCCTCCTTAACTTCATGCTTTACATGCTTGTATAAATAGAAAGACAAGAGAGACAGTATTTTCTGCATGAAAGTCTTTCATATCATGTATATCACATGCGTTAGCTGTCATTTGAAAGCTGCCCACAGCAGACTATGTGAGGGGTTTGATTGATTGTCTCAGTTCCTGATTTTTTCTTTTTTTTTTTTTCTCTTTTCCCCTGTTTAATCAAATTAGAAGTTTTGGAAGAACTGCCAGAAACACGTGGGAAAACAGCACGGCGTTTCTTCTTTAATTTAACTTCCATCCCTAATGAGGAGTCTATCACCTCAGCTGAACTCCAGATTTTTCGGAAACAGGTGGACGGAGCCTTTGAGAACAACAGCAGCTACCATCACCGTATTAATATTTATGAAATTATAAAGCCAGCCACAGCCACCTCTAAGGACCCTGTCACAAGACTTTTGGACACCAGGTTGGTGCATCATAATGCAAGTAAATGGGAAAGTTTTGATGTAACACCAGCTGTTTTGAGGTGGATTGCACATGGACAACCTAATCATGGGTTTGTGGTAGAGGTGGTTCACTTGGACAAAGAGAACAGTGCCTCCAAGAGGCACGTTAGAATTAGCAGGTCTTTACATCACGATGAAGATAGCTGGTCTCAGCTCAGGCCATTATTAGTAACGTTTGGGCATGATGGCAAGGGACACCCGCTTCATAAAAGAGAAAAGCGTCAAGCGAAACACAAACAGCGTAAACGCCACAAATACAGTTGCAAAAGGCATCCGTTATATGTGGACTTCAATGATGTGGGGTGGAATGACTGGATTGTTGCCCCACCGGGGTATAGTGCCTTTTACTGCCATGGGGAATGTCCTTTTCCACTGGCAGATCATCTAAACTCAACAAACCATGCCATTGTTCAGACTTTGGTCAATTCAGTGAATTCCAAAATCCCCAAGGCTTGCTGTGTTCCGACAGAACTGAGTGCTATTTCCATGCTCTACCTTGATGAGAATGAAAAAGTTGTATTAAAGAACTATCAAGATATGGTTGTGGAGGGTTGTGGGTGCCGCTAACACAGCAAATATATTAGACAAATGCAAAAAAAAAAAAAAAAAAAAAAAAAGCTGACACTTTAATATTTCCCAATGAAGACTTTATTTATGTAATGAAATGGAAAGAAAAAAAAACACAACTATTTTGAAAATATATTTATGTCTACGAAAAAGTTGGGAAAACAAATATTTTAATCAGAGAAATATTCCTTTAAAGATTTTAAATGTATTTTAGTTGTACATTTTATATGGGTTTAACCCCAGCACATGAAGTATAATGGTCAGATTCTTATTTTGTATTTATTTACTATTATAACCACTTTTTAGAAGAATAGCTAATTTGTATTTATATGTAATCAAAAAGAAAAAAAATATAGGGTTTGTACATAATTTTCCAAAATTGTAGCTGTTTCAATTGTGTGTATTTAAGTTGAAAAGAATACATGGAAGGTTACTATGGCAAAGTGCATAGCACATTTGCTTTCTGCTGTGCTACTGTTAAGGTCACAAGTTCAAGTCCAGAAAAAAGTGGATAATCCACTCTGCTGACTTTCAAGATTATTATATTGTACAACTCTCAGGAATGCTGCAGGGTGGGCTGTCCAATCCATGAGAACTGGCATCCTTTTTAGGTGGAACATTTGGATAAGAACCAGACGTTGCTGATCTGGTATAAATACTGCTATTCCCGACTAATTTGCAGTGTGAATATCAGAAGGGCCAATAGAAATCCCATGGGAGGCGGGGGTGGGGGAAGGCTGAATCTTTTCTAGACCTACAGAAAAGTGAATGTTTGATGTTTCCTTTAAAAGTCATTCCCTTAAAAGTCCTGGCCAAATATAAAATAATAAAAACTAAAATGTCATCCTTTTTTTTTTTTTCTCTTTCTCCTTGTGATTATGTACACTAAAGAGGAATAATTATCTTATTTGTACCGGCCCTTGTCTTTAACAGTTGGAAAAGCGTTGCATACTTCCTCACCTCAGATGAGAGCTCACTTCTGTGGAGTGTTAGAGTGAAATTAATCTTCAATTTTTTGCCCTACATACAGCAAGCTGTTGTCATATGCAGCCTCCTATCTAACCTCAGCTGACAGTTTTGCTGTTTTGCAGAATAGTTTGTCTTCCTTTCCAGTGTTTTGTGTTCAAAAGCTTTTTTTTTCCCTCCCCAAATGTTTAAATTTATTTCAAATAATAAATCACAGCACTGATATTTCTTTCTGAAAAGTCCAGTCTGTAAGAAAAAAAAAAAATGGTTCACTTGTGCAGTCATCACAAGGATAACTTGTGCTGACATCTTACTTTTTAAATTCTTCACATAAGGGGCAGAAGTGTGACTTGCAGTTGGTAAACAGCATTAAAGCTTAATACTTAATTGTGCCTGTTGTGCGTTAAAAGGCTGGTATGACAGTCGGGGGACTGGCTGTAGGATGTGGGACAAGCACACAGAGGCTAGGTTGCTTGTTGTGGTTGTGCTGAAATTATAATAGAGTGGGGTAGTAGCTTAAATTTGCTTCTTGGTGATCTGCTGCAAAGCACACTGAAGCCAAGAACAGAATGAAATGGTGTTAGGCTGCTAGTGGCGAAATTGCTGCTTATTTCGGGAGCTCTCCAGTGTCTTTAGTGGATATGTGACTCTGTGCTGATACCTCCAGAGGTGTCAGAACCCCCTTGTGCTCTGTGATAGATCCATTTCTGGATTTGGTGAACTGAGGCAGCACTTCTTAAAGCCATGTTGGCCATTTGGAGACCTCTCCAAGGTGACTCTGGGAACCTCTGATTTGGACCACCTATTAGCCTAACTTCTTATTAACAGAAACCTCCTCTTACTCATGGACCCCCCCAGACTCTTCCTTTTTTACCAGAATCATCTGGGTTAGAGCAAAGGTCCTGAATAGGTTTGTTGATCAGGAAGGTTAACTTGATGATGTCTTACAGGTGTTCTTACAGAACAGTTCTCTACTGCTAATCATCACAAAAAGCAGCGGGTATAGAGGATAGGAGAGAAAAAACTTAATTTCCTGTTGGCTGCTTCCATTTTTGTCTTGTGAGCTTAAAAATATCTTAGGCTAAGTGTAAGTTTCTGTGGCGAGGTAAAAAGTGATATATTTCTGTGGTACCACCGGTATTTTTAATAACTAGAGAACAATCCACTGCTCTGCAGTTTGGCTCTGCTTGTTTTTGAGGTAGCTGATGTTATTGGTCACGCTGATACTATACAGCAGCCTGGGAGTTCGCTGGGTGGACAGTGTTTTCAAAAGACCAGTGCTATTTTGTTGGCTCATGTTTTTAGAAGGGAGCGTCGTATGTGGAGAAGTTTAGTTTGCCTTTTGCTTGTTGCCAGCTTTACTGATGGTGAGTGAGTTGGTGGCTGTTGCTTTGGGAAGGTTGTCAGTCCTGGGATATGCCACAGTGAAGGTTCTTCAAGAATTTATCGGTTGTTTGCGACGCATGGTTGTGCTAGTCAAGTCACAGCAGCACTAGTGACTTGCAGTCAGCTTTTTGCACATGGCAGCCTGCAAAAGCTGGGCATAAAGTACTGAAATTTTGAAGATTGCACCATGTGTATGAGCAGGAAAGGTATGATCCCAAACCTGCTGAATTCAATAAAGACCCCATGGCACTTCTAACCACATCCTAAACTCCGCTGTTGAAAGGCTTAAGTTGCACAGCTCCTGGCCCTTTGTATGTAACTAGACTGAGGGAGGCTTTTTACAGAGTGGTGACTGCTTTGCTTCTCTAAGGCACGAGAACACGTTGATGCTAATCTTCTTTCAAAAAAATTGGCTATGGTGCTTGTCTATGCATGAGCAATAGCTGGCTCATGGCATGATGCCGCGTTCTTTGTAAAGGCAAACCTCCTGTTGCTTGACAAAGAATTGCATCCTTAGTAAAATACACCGTGAGACCAATGTGTCGTTGTAACCCGATTAAGACCTACTCTTGTAAGCATTTCTGTACCTGCTTAGTGTTAGTCAGAGAATCATCAGTTCCATCCTGATTTTGAGGAGGAAATATGCATATGTCAAGCTCAGCAGGTCAATAAATTCCTGCAGAATTGATTTGGTAATGTATCTTTAAATCCTTAACTCTTAACCTCTCTCTCTAGATGGGAGATGTGAGAATGCTGCATTGAGTAGTTTGTTCAGGATTTAAAAAAAAAAAAAAAAAAAGGAACAAACGAGACTTTCTTTACATGAGTAGTAGAAATTTTCCTAGAGATCAGTTGGGTTCCTGAACTTTGCTAAATAGGGTTGATGATCAGACAGTCCCGAAAGATTCGGGCTTTCTGGCATCTTCTAAGTTTGGTAATGATTGCTAAATAATCCTAAATACTAAAGGTATGCTGTGACCACAGTACTCCAGTACTTATTTTAGTTCTTTAGTACTTATTAGTGTTACAGTGCTCTAAAAGAAGAAATAAGCCTCCCCCCTCCCCCCCTTTTTTTTTTCCTTTTAAGAGGAGAAAAAGCAGAACATCTGGAAGGCAAAATTGCCTTTGTTACCCTATAGCCTGTTTCCCCTAAACATACTGCTTCTAGGCACTTATATAATCTATATAGGCAGAGATTGTGATAGATAATGTCACCCTTTGTGCATTTCAGATAAGCATCTCTCTAAACACAAATGTGATCAGCATCTCTCCTTGTCCTTTTGAGGCTCACTAACAGCTTTGTCAAGTGGCTTGATAATTTTTGCGCAAAATTCAGTTGGACTTCTGTGGTCAGCAACATGTAAAAATGACGCAGGAGGATCTTCAGTTGAGGTAAGCTCTCCCGAGAGCATTGGCCATTTTCACCGAGCAGCATCTGCTCTGCTGTGCTCACCTGGGCTCATCATCATCAGGTGTTGAGACCTTTCCTGCTCATATGATAATTGGGTTTGGGTGTCCACAGACCATCACCTGCTTCCCCACCCCCACCCCCCACTAGGCAATTAGAGGTCTCACTTGTGCAATCAGTACTGATGAGGCTTGGAGAGGAACATGATTTGTTGTACTCTCAGCTTTGAAGAAGGAGCTCATCTGGACTGCATTTATATTGGACTCACTTTGCACTATTAGAAGAAGATAATTATTGAACTATTTTTTTTGCACAGCTATTCCTAAATTGTTGATTTTGGGGGCTTTTTTTTTTTATTGATTTCAGGAGGCAGCTAATTGCCATATGGCAACTTGATGTTAATGTTTTATGAAGATCAGGAAACAAAAGTTTATGAAAAGCTTTTGTATAGTAACTGCAGAGTTTCAAGAACTGTTTTATACTTCCTGACAGTGCAGGTCTGGCTTAATGGTTTGTTTTTATTGCTTAAGAGTGTAAACCTTTCTTTAGCCGATGTGTGGAAATTATATCCTCATCCCGTATTACGCATTTCTCATTGCTCATTACTCATTCCCAGCTTTCATTTCTGCCATCTATAATCAGAGCTTTACTGTTTCAACTGCATGCAAAATGCTCCTGTCCTTTGCGCACTAAGATACTTTTCCTTA